CTGAAATTTCAGAACCTGGCGATCTGTATTTCCTGCAAAAAGCTGATTATATTTGGACAATGACTATCCCACAAACTCGAGCTGAATTTCAGAACGTGGTAGTCTGTATTTTCTGCAAAAATGCTGATATTTGAACAATAACTGTCCCACAAAGAGCTGAATTCAGGAATCTGATGTTACTTTTTATCCTGACTGATGTCCGTAAACTTTTTTCATGGATTTTTGATCCACACCGCTGTCACCAAAATTATAGCTGTACCATAAGTGAACTTCCGAGATGGAAAATAATCAGATCAATGGTCTTTTAAATATTTATTTTAAAACTTGAACAAAGATTTCTGGGTTAAATAAAGCAAATCATCAGTACAGCTACTGAATGAACAGACAAAACGTCCACATGATGCAGATCACATAATCACTTAGCGCGAATTATACCTACGGCATTTTTTGGATAAAAGCCTCTTCCTTTCTTTATATGGTATTGTTGCAAGGAAACTGCACAAGGGGAAGGTCCTTAACGAGTTTCCTTTGCTGATTACTTTCCCATCATTTAGCGGAAATGGTGGTTCTCTCTCAAGAGAGCAAGAAGTCCTCTAATTTAATCCTGTCATTCCATCAAACCTGAGGATCATTACAATGCTTTTGGAAGCAATTTTTCTCAGAATCGCTGATCATAATTGTCATCAAATCTATGGTGGCCTGCAGAATTGTTCTGCAATGATATGAGGCTTTTTGTGCTTCGTGACTTTACATACAACTCCATAATGGTAGTAAAATATTAGTTGACACAGACTAATTGCACCTGAGAAAAATGCCTTAGTTGTTTCACTATTTTAATTTTCTGGTAAGATAATGCTGTTTGGTAATTAGTTTCAATATGGCCTTTAAACTTATTTGTAAACATGCACCTTTGTTCCTAGCTTTCATACACAGTACACACTACAATACCTTCTTATCATTGCTGTGGTGATATAAATTCAAAACCTAAATGACTGTCATTATGTGTCAGAAGCAATGTTAAAAAATTTTGTCAACGTAACATCTTTCATTTGGCTCAATCTTTGGTCAGTCAAAGAAATAAAGACAAGTACTTATGTACAAGCTTCAAGAATCCAACAAATTCCATGTATAATTAGAATAACTTACTCACTATATTCATTCTGATGTATTGAATAAAACTTATTTCTGTTTATGCTGCAGGCTAAGAAACACTCAGCTACAGCAGTGTGGAATTTAAACTTTAGCATAGAGGACCATCTAATGTTACTATTGAAAGTAAAATTGTTATGAAAAAGCAAAACAGTGGTTTGTACAGTGTTTCTTAGTTGTCTTTCCTGTCATCATATCAGCACAGCTATAATCCTGTAGAAAAAACAATATGCACTTACATATAATTTTAGTGAAAATATACTTCACAGACTTAGAATATTATGATATTAATGTCATTTTTTATGACTGTAGTATACATAGATTTTGTAAAGAAATGGGCATTTAAGAATAAATTCATGCAGGTATTCTATTAATATTGAATTAGTTATTTTAGATATGATATGCATACATGTAAGCAACCTATTGGGCGTTTTATTATTTTAATAACACTGTATGACATGTGTGTCAGCAACCAGTTTTTTTAATTATTTTCTAAAACTACTTAAACTCCTTTTTAGCTTTTCTCAGAGGACAGTGTTAGAAAATGAGTAAGAATATGTGAAAAGGATTAAAATGGTTGAAGTTATGCTTGACTTATGCTAAATTCAGTATTATAGCACATTTAAAGTAAACAAAGAGAAAAAAATGACTGTGTAAACGAAAAATAGTGTTTTGAAAACTTAAAATTTACAAAGTTATCAATAGATAAAGATTTGATAATTTTTATCATAAATATACCAGAGCAGTCTGGTGCTATTAAATTATAGTTTCATGAACTATTTCAAGAAGTATGTAATAAAAGCAAGCATTAATATTTTTCAAATTATGAGATGGAATCTTTTTTTTTTATTGAATGTATCTCTAATTCACAGTAGACATGATATACAAAAGGATTACTGTAAGCAAAATAGCTAAGGTTTCATAAAATAAATTATTATTCCTAATTAATAGTAAATTAATAGTAAAATTTAAGTCCTATCTCACTTAATTTAGTACTACAGGCATAAAAGCAAGATAAGAAACCAAATGGCCTAGGTGAAATAAGACAAAATTTATCTTTTAGTAGGGATGCATTTTTATCTCCAAAATGGCAAGTTAGACTTTCGTAGCACAGAAATTTAAATTTACAATTAATTTTAGCATCAGCATATATACACTGCATGCAATTCACACAATAGAAATAAAAAAATTGCATAAGTTATACAATAATTGTTCATAGGTCATTGTACATAAGTTAGATAATAAAAGTTCTTTATATAAGAGTCGCATTCTGTCAAACAAAAACAATATTTGTTCGACAAAATAAGGTTAAGAGTTAATATTATAGTCAACATTACATGCATATAATGTTATCTGCTTTATTAATGAAGTCCATTAATTTATGTATACATGTGTGATAGACTGGAGTAATAAATGATACTTTATTGTTAGATGGGATTTTACTGAAAACTCTCTTTTGAATGCCAATGTGATAGAACTTTCCAAAATATAATTTTAATATCTGCCCCCTCATTTAGGTAATCAATCATATTTACATCTCACATTCTCTTTGAAGAAACTATTTACATATCTTGGAAACTTTCCATGTTCTGTTGTAGTCTGAATCAAAATCTGATCGAAAATGAGATTCTGATACTTATTAATATGTTCTGGACTTTCTTTTAGTTTTATGTTTTACTGATTAATGAATGTACATTAGTTCTCACAGACCCGCTAATAGCCCTATGTATAAGATTCTGAATATTGGTAATTTATGCTAGGTTCTGTTTTGAGAGATTTAATGGGTTGTGTGCAAGGGATTTTATGGTTTTTCTCATGTGTAATGTGAATATAAGTGGTGGGATTCAACCAGCTCACAGAATTTTTTCTCAAAATACTTTCAATTTGGTCAACCTGTTGTGAAAATTAATCTCTTGTATTTAATTAACAGTTTATCATTAATTAATTAGTGTAGTTAAACTTATGTAGATAGTAAATTAGTTGTTAAACTATTTGAATTTCATCATTGGTGAATATAAACTTTTACAGAATTTGCCATAAAGCAGCTTATCTAAGGCAGATAGCAGTTATTAATCAGTTATTTTTCTGCTCTTGTCTCTTCAGTGTATTACTTTTAATGTATTGAAAATAAAGAAATACATGATCTCTTTTTGTTAAAGTGTCATATATTTCTTTGACTTCTTTAACAAAATGTGATACATGTTAGTTACTTTTATATAGATCTGTGAAGTTAATTTTATGTAAAAATTCTGTACGATTGCTTTAAAATGTCTATGGAGTTATTTTTTAAATCTCTTAAAATGTTACTTTAAATACTTTGAAATTATATATTTTTATGTTTTGAATATACGAGGTAGGATTCAAAATTTCCCGAACTGAGTCTGTAACATAAAAAATATTATGAATTAAATTTCAGAAACATATCCTTCGAAATAAGACACTTGTGCAACAACACACTTTTGCCAGTGCCTGTAAAGTTCATCAAAGCATGTCTGGAATCCGTTTTTAGCCACATCCTTTAATTCAGCCTGCGATGCACATTTAACTTCATCTGAAGATTGAAATCGACGACCCTGCAAGCATCCTTGCAATTTCAGGAATTAGGAAGAAATTGCATGGCTGCAAGATCAGGTGCAAGTAAGGAGGACGAGACAACAGCAGTTTTTGTTTTTCGCCATAAAGTCATTGATGAGTACAGATCGGTGAGCAGGAGCATTGTCATGTAAGAGCACCCTATGATTGCTCAGCCCACATTTTTGGTATCTGTTCCGGATTGTCTCATGTACAATGATGCAGGAATTTCGACATAGAGTTCTTTGTTCACAGTGCGTCTTTCAGGGATAAATTCCAAATGCACAATGCCCTGGATATCGAAGAATACCTCTAGCATGACGTTTCCTTTAGAAAGATCTCGGCGGAATTTCTGCTTCCATGGAGATTGTGGCGATTTCCACATTGCTGATGCTCTCTTGGTTTGCAGGTCATACAAAAAACACCAGTAACTCGTCTCCAGTAACAATTCTGCCAAGTAGGAAAGGATCTTTGTCAACAGCCGAGATTAAGTCTCATGCTATTTCCATTCGAATTCCCTTTCGGTTTACGTTTAACATGTGGAGAATGATTTTTTGACACACCCTAATGCATGTTAAGATCCTTAGTCAATATCCACTGACATGTGGCCTCTGATATCCCAACTGATTCTGCTATTTGGCAAATTGTTTGCTACCTGTTTGCATGTACCGCAGCAGACATCTTTTTGATGTTTTCATTGGCGCACGAAATCACAGGATGGCTACAGCGTTCGTCATCTTTGGCACTTTCCTTGCCTTCTCTGAAACAACAATGCCACTCAAAAGCTTGTGTTCTTGATAACATTTCACTTCTGTACACATGCTTCAACATTTCGAAAGTCTCCATATCACTCTTTCCCAAGCAAACACAAAATTTGACATTGATTCTCTGCTCAATTGACGCTATTTCTTTCCATCGCCGGTTACTAAATGTACCTGCCTACAAAAAACGCTGTTGCCGTGAGCATGTGATTTGGGACAAACCACTTTTAGAAAAGGGGGAGAATGTAGTAACACAAAATCATTCTCATAGTTGCACTCCTGCACAAAAGTTTTACGTTGCAGATTCAGTCCGGGATATTTTGAGTCCTACAACGTATTACCCCTTATAGTAGATGCCCATATTTTGTATAAATAACTCATAGTTATACTTTCAGTCTTAATGCCAGTTTTAAAAAGCCTGGTTGTATATATTATCATAGTGGTTTAGTAAAAATGTTCTCTTTCTTTTTTTTCTTAATAAATGCAATTTTCTAATCGATTTTAAATTTTATTTTTTAGAGGTGAGGATGGATTACATGAATATCTTGAAGTAAAAACAGTAAGTATTTTTAAGTTAAGATTTAAAGACTGATAAAAATATGAAATTCAAAATTAATTAAAAATGTGCTGTAACATGATTCAAAACCATAATTGCCTGGTGTTAATTAACCAACCCTTAAAACTGAAAGTGGCTGAAAACAATCCATATTTTAAATAGACCTGGTTTATGGAAGGATCTGATGCTGTTCATGTGATGTAGCTTACCTAGCTAAATTTTTAAATTTGTCTTTGAATTTACAACAGCACATTACAAATCAGAGTCATAAGATGAAGCAGGTAAAAGCAATATGTATCTCTTCATTTTCTGTTAGTTTCTAATGGCAATAACTGTTATCAATATTTGTCTCATTAATTTAATTAATATGTATGCTGTGAAAAAAAAGGGGGGACAGTTAATATATTCCAAGTAATATATGTCCTTATATCCTTAACTTCAGTTAACTCCATACCAAAAATTACTGTATTTCAGAGCCAGAGATCTGGATGATTGCTTTTAACTGGATTTTTTTCCAATATATAAATGTAAAAATTATTTACTGTCAAGAAATCTGAAGTGATGCTGTATTTCGCATTAACTGTCGTAAAATTCAGCTCATGTTTTCACTGTTAAGTTAAGAAAGTCTTATTTTAGCCAGGTTTTTTGCTGATATGATGTTGACCTGTGATAATAATGGTTAATTCTTCAGATTTTCAAAATACATGTAGCAGACTTTATTGCAATTACTATTTAAGTAACAAAATATTTAAAGAAAGTAAATTATACTTATTTATATATTAATTGCATAACCATTTGTTGTAAGATCTCTGGCATATAAACTCTTTGAATATTTACTGACTCTTAAATGAGCTTGTATGCATAAATTTTATTAAATAAAATAACACAAAAATAGGGGAAAATACAGATATAGGAAAAAATAAATAAATCTGAAAGCTTTCAGATTTTACATTATGCCCACTGGGGCTTTTTTTTTTTTTTTAACGTTTTGTATGTTACCTCTATTTATTAAATATCATGTTCTTCGTACTTAAACCATTAAATTCAGTTCAACAGCAATATCACAAAATAATTTTAAAATACCTTTAGAAATTTCGATATACAGTCTCATGTGCTGGAGATAAAAATGCCCCCCCATAGTGTTGCCATTCCTCACTTTGAAATCGTTGAGTTTCTTAATCAAAAATTCTTTAATATGTCTGACAAAATATGAAATAGGTAAAACCAAATTCCAAATTTGGGCTTCCAGATATCCATATTCACTGGAGGATTACATTATTCAAAATTTGATGGCTCTAGGTACTGTTGTTTTATCACAATGTGAGAAACATACATATATTTATGTAGAATCTACATTATTCAATTTCTTTAAATATGATACAGGGCTGTAATAGTTGGTGGCAACAGTTTGAAAAGTGAATCAAGACAGAATGCCAGAATGAGATTAATAGCTCTTCTGGGCTAATGCCATTTGGGCTAAATATAATATTGAATAGTTTTATTATTAATATGAATAAATGAATGTAGTACATAGCATCATTATCAGTAATATTAATAGTTTTATTATTTACTACTATTTTTGAAGCAATTTGAAAAATGACATTGTATAATGTACAGTTTATCATTGCCTTTCAATGAAGCAGATATGACTCTAAAAATTTTTCTTTCTGCCATATTTGAAATATCTGAAGCATATAATGCATATTTTGGAAATTCATGTCTGCATGCATATTTTGTATTTCAATGTCTAATTTTATTAATAAGCATTATTGTTATGTTCTAGGTTACCATCAAAATCCCACAGAAAAATTCTTAATGTTCTGGAATCCATATATGTAAAGGATGTTAATTCAGATTATGTATTTTTCTATGAATCAGACCTGATTATATATATATGTTCATAATAAATTTAGAAATTTTCTGTCAAAATGTGTAATAAATCATATAAACTATACATTATATTATGTAAAGGATGTTAATTCAGATTATGTATTTTTCTATGAATCAGATCTGATTATATATATATGTTCATAATAAATTTAGAAATTTTCAGTCAAAACGTGTAATAAATCATATGAACTCTACATTATCTTGTATCTAGCAACAAATTCAGGAGTCAATATTAAGACCATTAGTTATTTAAAAAAGTATCATTTTTAATGTTTTCTGATTGACAGCACATTTAAACACCTATGTAGTATGCATGTTTATGTCAATTTTTAAATAGTCTTTTATTATTAAAACATTTATTTTTAATTTTTCTTATTCTATTATGTAGATTTTTTTATTACTGTTGTATTAATACTCATGTATTATTTTGAAGTTTATTTTATTTTTTCCCCCATGGAGTATATCAAGTCATGATCATATGGTTAAAAGAACGATATACAAATAAGATTAAGGTTAACCAGTTTGTTTATCTGTTCAGATTTCATTATTTTTACTTTTGCTGTAGCCAGAGCTGTTTCAGTTCATTTTGTAGTTGTAATAAATTGTTGTTTTGTCCCCTCCCCATTGTTGTTTGGTTTTTGTCCCCCTCCCCCTGAAAAAAGATAAGAGCATATATATTTTTATCATTTTACTTGTAACATAAATATAAGCTAGTTTCTTTTAGAAAACACTTAAATCATTTTTTCATGGACAGTCTTCACAGCTTTCTGTAATTGGATAATTAAAATTCTGCCAGTTCTTCAAGGAAAATACATGAATTTTGAAGTATACATCATGTACACAAATGCATTTCTTCATGCTTAGTGTTTTTTTTTTTTTTTTTTTTCAAATCAGCCCTAACACATTTATCATTTTTTAGTACAAATTTTGAATATTTTCATTAAAATTCTGAAAATTGGATAATTTTAAATTGCTAAGAAATATCTCAATAGTTTTATAAACTCTGACTGCAGCCTTGCTTTGCCAATTCATATAAGTTGAAGGCAAAATTGGCAGTGATAATGAGAAAATGATCATTGTCTTACAAGCTACCAAAAAAATATCTAGTATAAACTCATAAAATTCCAGTTGCTTTTCGTTATTTCAGTAATACTTGTTGTTTATTTTGCCTTTTTTCCTTTAGCATACTTTTTTATAGACATTTCACTCATAAGTTTTGTTTAATTTTGTATTATTTAATTTTATGTATGATTATAAATTTAATAACACCATATTATTAACCTTGAATGAATGTTTTCAGAATCTTGCATTCTGTTTTGTCACAACAATGCATAACCACTCATATTCATTCATCACAATTCAATAACAATCATTCACAACATAAATCACACATATTTTATAAAATCATTTATCAAAATATATACATCAATAATATTTCATATCATCAATATTTACATACATCATTCCATATGAACTCATACACATCAAAAATAAACAATACATTCAATATCATTATAATTACTCATATATTTATATATTTTATACTAATATATATTAACAATTAAATATCATGTTTATAGTGCACACATTCATAAGTCATACATCATCACAACATAATTCAGTCATCACATAATATTTTCATCAAATTTCACACAATATTCAACTAATCATAATATATACAACACATTATATTCAATCATCATATAATCACATAATTCAACTTAATGCAAAATCATCATATATCATACACATATCATCATTTCATTCATATCGATAATATCAATTCAATTTATTATACATCAATCAATATATTATTTTTCATTCATATTATATTATATTATGATCATCATCATTACAAAATCATCAATCAACAACAAACAATATATAAGTTCAATATCAATTACAGCATCATATAACAAAAACAAAATATACATAATTCATTCAATCCCATTTCATCAACACATATACAAATTTAATTTACACTATAATTCATACATCATCATCATCAATCATCACATCAACAATACATATCAAATTTATACCAATAATCATCATTATACATTCAAACATATCCCACAATTTTTATATCACACTACATATAATATCATATCAATTAATTAAATTCCTTTCATTACACACATTATCATAATCATTATATAAAATATATCATCAAACACACATTACATATTTCATTTTATTATACATCACCACAATAAAAATAAAGTATTAAAATCCCATAATCACATATAAATCATTACTTATAATCAATAATACATCACATCATAATACATCATATTTTACAATTTCATCAAAATTATTCAAATCAATCAATATCAGTCATATGCATACATTACAAACATCATAATTTTCCCAAATTATTAATATATTATCATAATCAACTATTCATATCATCACATATCATAATATATCAAATCAATTCATCTTATCAAAATTAAATACAAATTCAAGTATTTTTAATTTTTTCATCATTATATCATATATTCAATTCAATTACACAACAAACACCATCATCATCATTCACCATTCACATATTTCAATATTTCATATCATATATAACAACATTACACAACAAATTCTATTAAATTAAACACACAACAATAACATCACATAATATCAGCATAATCAATATTCACAACATAAAATTTCATTTATTAATAACACATCAACTTATATTACACATCATTTATCATCATATCAAATACATATTCATCATCAATATATATCCAATAATTATGTCAAGCATAATTACATATTCATAATTACAAGATATATCATATAACATTATAATCACAAACATTTTCACAAACATCATAAAACATCATACATTCATACAACATACAATTCAATTATCAAATATAATCATACATAATATATTAGATATTGAATAAATTATCAATTTCGTATAATATAATACACATATTTACATCATCATATCATAATACAATCAATTCATTCAATTACAATCAAATAATCAAATCATCATTCACATACATCAATATTATATCACAATATTCAATCATTCACATATATACAACCCACATATATTAATTATTTTCAATTATATATATAAAATATATATCTATACATCATCATCACATTACACAAAAAGAATATCACAATATATCACATTCAATTATATTTAATATTCATTTATCAATTATAATCATTCATTAATAATTTAATACATTCACCATTCAATCATATCATCATCATATAATTCAATAATATTCCATTCATTTTCATCAATCATTGTTACATCACATACATCATTCCTCAATCACACTCACATCACATCATATCCATAAATAACAAACATATATTCATTACCCCCCAAAAAAAATATTAACATCACATCATTCACATTTCAAATCATAATTCATCACATACAATAGCATACATCAATCCATCATCATCATCAACATTACATTCAAATTAATAACATATATATACAATCAATCATTTTCGAATCATCAAATTACATTAATATATCATATATCATAAAATTTATAATTCATTTCTCTTCATATATAATACACATATTATATTCATATTTCAATACAATTCATAAAACAAACACATCCAATATCATACATATTTACATATCATCATCAAAATAAAATTTTCATTTCATATAACCCAAAACATATACATACTTATCTATTAACAAATCAACACCATCCCCAAAAAACCAAAAAATATATATATCACAAACATCATTTATATCTCACATATCAACAATATTCACAAATTTATTATCAATATAAATCATCCATCAATTTTATACATCAAACATTCAACATATAATTCAATCGTCACATCATCATTCACACATAACATCATCATAAATAATCATTCATCAAATTCATCATATCACAAGTCATATATATCATCACATATCTCATTAATAATACATTCAGACCACACAATAATCACAATATAGATCATATTAATCATCATCATCACACCAAAAACAACAAAAAAATCAATTCCAATATACAACATCACAATATAGTCATACATATAACAATAAATAACTATTCAAATATTCATTTAACAATTGTATTACATCATCATATTCAATCATTCAAATTCAATATATTTTTCAATATTCATCATAAAATACCATACCATACATATTACATCTGTTTATTATATCACAAAACACAATTCAATCACTTACACATCATCATATTAGTTCATAAATAATTACATAATATCATATCAATCAAACATTTTACATATACAAATATAACATTTATTATTTATATTCAATAATATATCAAATTATTTAAATACAAAAAAATTATAAATTAATCATTCATTTATCAAATATTCATACACAATATCACAACATAAAAAATCAAAAAAATAAATAACAAACAATACATTCAATAAAACAACAATTTCACACAATCATATCTACATGATTTCATCATTTAACATACATAATATTTCATTAATATCATTATACATCATTATAATCCAATTATCATCATTCCAATCACACAAACAAATACACTATACATCATAACAAACAATCATATTACACATCAAATCAAAATATTATTCATTCCCCCCCCCAAAAAAAAAAACCGAAACCCCAAAAAAAAAAATCACAATATTCAAAACACATTATCAATAAAGTCAATTCACACACATATTATATAAAATATTTCTTCACATAAAATTCAAATACACTATCACATATCAGTTCATATACATCATTTATCAAATATTCATCATAAACATATATATAATAATTATCATCAATATATACATTTCAAAACATATAATAATACATTTCAATTAATAAACATCATCAAATTTTTACACACATACATAAATATATCAATATCATTACAACAAAAAATCACAAAATTAATAATATTCATCATCAAATTTCACATCACAAGCATATCATCAATATATTTCACATCAATTCGTATATCATCATTTTAATATTATATAATTTCATATTCATCATAATTTATACATACCATCATATCATAATCACATAATTAATCAATAAATATAAAATAAAAATTATATACAAATAATTCATTCACATAACCATTCAATTAGATCATCACCAACTTAAATACAAACACAACATTTTTTGCGGGGGAAAAGAAGGAAAGATAACATATCAAATACAAACATTCACATATATTAAATTTCATAATTAAATCAATCATATTACACATTCTTCTCATCATCAACATATTCAAAATCATTAAAACAATATTAATCACAATCACAAACAAATCAAACAATCAACAATATCATACATCGTCAATTCATTTATCACATTTCATATAATTCCAATATTTCAACATTACAAAATACATAACAATAATTACATCATTTTACATTTCAACAGACACCATAAAATTTTACATCAACACATAATTACATCATCATAAAAAAAAATACATACATTCAAACATCATCATCCCAATCATTAAACACATATCATAACATTATATAAAATTCATAAATATACGTTAATTACAATCAACAAAAATTATTCATCCATAAACATTCAACATTACATCATACACATAAACATTTATAATTACTACAAATCACATTCATTCATGACG